TGATCCTGCTGGGGCCTCACAATACCTAGCCACACTCACTAACTCACTCACTTTTTGGCTTAACCAAATATATATTAAGGATTCTATAAGGTATCCCCAATCAGGAACTACAATGGAGACTATAGGTAGAGTTTAAACCCTACATAAACCCTAGGGTGTAGGGGTGTCTACACCCTAAACCGAAGGAGCGGCATCCGGAACACACGCCGTTCGGTTCGCGCCTGCGCAATGGCCATGGGATGGAATGGTGATGCGTGCCAGTAATATAGGGGCCTTCATAATTAGAATAAGGTTTTGGGGATAGCATACCATAATTGTGTTAAGGAACCCCCAAAACCCTATTCTAATTATAGGCCCCTACAGTAGCCGCACTCAGAAGTGCATAAGCCTCTTGACCGCGGAGGCCGTGTAGAACTCGTTGGTGCGCGGATCCTGCGACACAATCCTGATCAGATCGTGCATTAGGTTTCCCTGAGGGTCCATGTGCCCAAATACTATGTACTTTGGCCCCAAACTACCTATATAGGGACTACTTTCAGGCCAAAGTATATAACCCTAAACCCTAAACTATTTGGGTACATGGACCCTTAGGGTTTGTCAGCCCGGTGCCCATTGCAGAGTCCACTGCGATGGTCGACCACAGCGCGGCGAGGTCACTCGCCTCCCGAGGCGGAGGTGGGCGCTTGAGGCGCGTGTCTGGCAAGATGCTTTGGCTTCATGGGTTTAGGGTTTTCGGTTTAGGGTTTAGGGTGGAGGATCTTGGGACTTAGTAAATGGGGTTATAAGTACCTTAATTGGGGTTATAATTACTTAGAGGTAGAGTTACCTGACTTATGGCCTCAGCTACTAAGTCCCATGATCCTTTACGCAAGGTCCAGCATCGTAATTTCATCTTGGGTCCTGTGAGCACACATGATAACATCGCCGACCTTTGCACGAAAGCTGAAGCAGGAGAGGATTGCGAAGCTTCTTGCAATGTGCGGCGTGAAGGATTCCTTGCCTACACCCTGTCCCCCGCAAACCCTAAACCCCAAACTCCAAACCCCAAACCCTAAACCCTAAACCCTAAAACCTAAACGTAAACCCTAAACCCAAACCAATATCCCTGCATCGTGTCACCCTGGACCCCAGAACCTCAGAATCCCGACCCCTCGTAAACCGTTCGGTGCTGAACCCAGCAAAAAAGTCTAAGAGATTTCGACCTGAAACCTGATGTCATAAGCCTTAAAACGCGAAACCCTAAAAGTTATATATTTCTAGGGACTGGGCCGAAACCATTCAAGCCACAGCCCCTAAATCCAGAACCTTTTTGGCGAACATTGGTTAGGCTTGCATAACATGATAGGCAAAAACATCAATGTACTTTGTACTTGACATAACAAAACACAAGCTTACAAAACGCAACAACCCCAAATCCAAATCCAATCCTTAAGCCCTATCCCCAAAACCCTCGACCCCATCCCTCCCTCAATCCTAGACGAGGCTGGTGCGACGACATGGCCTGCAGACTGTCCGAGGTTTGATATTGCTCTCGGATGCATGCCGGTCGTGCAGCTTGCCTCAACAAAGAGCAGGAACCCTAAAGTCTTGACCGCTTTATGCGGGTTCATTAAGGGCTTTACAAGCTTGATAGCAGTTGCATAACACATTAAGGTCTTTGGGCAGGCCGTGAGGCTTTCAGGGTTGTATAGAGGTTCTTCGTGGGCTTTTTCAGGGTTCCACAAGGCCTTGAGCCTGTAGGATTTAGGGCTTCAGGTCTAGGGAAGAAGCACATACACGTCAGGATGTTTTTGCTTGGAAAGGCACTCTCAAGACCAAGACGGCGTCCTCGAGCACAACACACAGGGTATCGTGTTCTCGTTATGCATATGCAGTCTCTGGCCCTGCCGATGTTCTCCTCTTGAAGTCGGAATCAGGTCTTGAAAAGTCTACAGAGGTAAGAGATTTTCAACATGAAAACCTTAAATACCTAAACCCTAAACCCGAGACCCTTAACCCTACACCCTAAACCGTTAGATAGGCTTCGGTTGGGAGTTGTGGGTGCTAGGGGCCTTGCGTTTGGGCTTTGGAGCGGAGGAAGCGCAGGGCTCTATGGGCCTAAGGCTCCGATGTAGTTCTTTAATTTAGGGTTTAGGGTTTAGGGTTTTGGGTCCCCCAAATCGTACACCACCCATATGAACAAGGATCTAGAAACGGTCCCTAGTTTTGAGAACCGCTCATAAAGTGATTATACAGGTTGGCTTGAAAGGGCTGTAGGGTATCAGTATATGTATGTATGTATGTATATATATATATATATAGATATATATATATATATATTACTATACACACATACACATATATATATATATATGGAGCCCTAGGGGAATGTACAACGAAGGACCAGTCACGCATCAGAGCAGCGTTCTTAACATCAGGGACTCGTGTGTTCTTTAGGAGTAATTTCTCGGCTCTGCTATACCCGAACCGTCCATTTAGTTACGTAGTGTATGCTTTGGCCTTAGTCCTTATATTGGTACTCCAGGGCCAGGCATACACTATCTGGGCGCATGGACCCCTGCGGATAGCGCAAACCCAAGGGGTTATTATAATCAAACATGCATTGCGACCGCGCAGAGGGCGGGGAGGAATTCAAGTCGTCCGCTCCACTGCTGCCGCTCGCGCCACTCACCCACGCGCCACTCGCGCCACAGCTAGGCAACAGGAACGCGTGGCGCCACTCGCCACTCGCCTCGCGCTGTAGACGAAAGGAATGAGTGGAGCAGGTAACGTACAGAGCGAGTGGCACGAGTGGAACGATTGGGACGACTGGAACGAGTGGAACCAGCGCAACGGTCGGAGAGAGTGGAACGAGAGGATTGGTCCGACACTAGTAGTAGTGTAGTAGTAGTAGTAGTAGTAGTAGTAGTAGTAGTAGCAGTAGCAGTAGCAGTCGTAGTCGTAGTCGTAGTCGTAGTAGTAGTAGTAGTAGTAGTAGTAGTAGTAGGCGCCCCCCCCTACCAACCA